TCTGAGGAAGATTCCTTGCCTAATGTTATCTTGGCTCTTATAACCAGTTGACTATTAATTAGGCCCGTGCGAAAAATTTGCAAAGCATATTGTTATCAAATGCCAAATTAATAAGAAAATAAAATAATGCAACGTATCAAAAGATAAAGAAATAAATTGTTACTTTATTGATAAATATAATCGACAAAAGAAACAAAAATTTATTTAAATTTTCATTTTTGTTTGGAACCAACATGTTTACAAATTTCAATAAGCTGTGTCTTTGTTAAAAATTGTCCAATTTCGATGATTTTTTTTCCTTTTGTAGGGAATTTAGTAATATTTTATATAATCATGGGCATAAATAAGGGAAAAGTCTATTGAAGCCTAGCGAAATGTTTGTATCGACTTTATTTATTTTAGAAAGAAAAACAAAAGTGAAGTATACTAACCCCCCCTTGAAATTTTGAATTCAACGGTACCCAATTGATGGAATTTGAGCATGACAGGAGCTTATATTTGATACAAAACCGATTTCGAGCCTCAGTGTTATAATATATGTGGGGATACTTGCTGTTCTAGAATGAGCAATATTCAAATTAAGTAGTTGGGGACAGTTGGAAGTATCTTTGTTAAGTTCAGATTTATGAACAAGGTCGCATGAACCTGCTAGTTGTTAAAAAAAAATGTATATTGTGATGTAAGAAAACAGTAAGTAGCTAAAAATATATTGTTATTATTTAATGCTTAGAAGCGCAAAACCCCGAGGCCATCAACGACTGTTTAATCTTCATTTCAGTAATCTCATAAAAATTATTAAGTAAAAAACAAATAACGCAAATTTAATTTTTGTTTAGCAAATCGTTCGCTTTAAGAAAATGTATCACCGATTTTGTCTTAACTTTGTCATTATTTAAAAGTACAGATAATTTTGGCACGAGTTCCAACTCGGTTAGAATCAATATGTAATAAGGATACTCATGGAGAACGTGGCTGATTGTGAGAGTACCGTAGCAGTGTTGGCATTTCGGTGCAGGCTGTTGGCTAATCAAATCGGAATGTGTTAGGTCTGTATGTACTATCTTAGTCTAGTTAAGGCAACTTCATCTCTTCGAATGCGGTTCGAGGTGGATCATGGTTTCACGGATCTTTTCCTTCAATTTGCTCGGTGGGCTCTTATTCCTCATGGATTGCAAGCTGAGAGCTATTTCCTTTTTGAGAGGAAAGCCTGTGTCATGCGGTGGTATATGGCAGAGCTTTGGTCGGGGAGGGTGAGTGCATGCTTGGCTGCCATGTCCGCGAGCTCATTTCCAAGACTTAAAAGGAATTTAAACGTTTTTAATCAAATTTTAAAAATGATATTAAAATCTTGTAGGTTACATTACACGAGATTAATGCCGTAAAACATTTTATTTTTGATTTGATATGCATGTATTTACTTATTATCACCTTCAACATATATAATACTCCTGCTCTTAAATGGGCCTTAATAGGAATTGGTATAGTTTCATTGCTCAAGATCTGATCCCACTATCCGCCAAAAACCAAGTATTTGATGCGGTATTACGCCCCATAGTAAGCTATGCGGCTCTCATTTTCAGCGATATGACATATTGGAAAATTTTCAGGGATTTTTCATTAAGAAATTGTTTTCATTGCCTCCAACGACACAAAATAATATGATTTTTTAAAAACAGCCGCAAATCCACTTGAGGTATTCACTTTACAGTTGCATTTTAAGTATTGTCTTAAATTAATGTGCCTTCCTGAAAGTCGTCTTTCCAGAGTTATCCTCATTGAAGTGATTAATACCTTCCGGTTTAAAAATTAGTGCGATTTGGCGCAAAGATACTCTTGCAGGTTCGACAGATTTTTGGAATGGAAAGACCAGTTGGTAACAATACGGTCTGCAATCACTCAGCAACATTAGGAGCAGTGTAAATTAGCGGCATTGAGTTCTGATCGATTTCTATTATATAGGGAATTGAGTCATGATCTTAAAGTTTTGAAATTCGTGGATGGTTGCTGTTGGGATTTGACTGGGCGCGAGTTGAGTTGGTTCTTCAAGCTCAGGTATGAACTCCTTCATTTGAATTACATCCCATGGCTTGACAGAGAATATACGGATTGTTCACTCTGTACAACAACCTGTCAGTAAAGGAATTTAAATAACAACCTGTTTCATTTATTGGCTGAATGTTCAATGTTCAGGCAAATTCGTATCGAATTTCTTGGAACTAGACCGATTCGAAATGGATATCCCAATTTCCCTTCTAAATGCCCCCTATGTGAACGAATGTCGTAAAATTGTTGGTTTTGCTCAACATGCGTGGATACACCGTTTTAATTTGCTACATCCAGCATCAACAATGATCCGTATAATTTATTTGTGGTCAGTTTTATTCATGTTATTGTTTATGATTTCCCTTATTTTTCTTTATTATTATTTTTAGATAAAAAATATTCAAAATATTTATTATTTTATATTGTATTAGCTGTTTTATTATTTATCAGTCATTCCTGCATATGTAATTGTTATAAAGTCTTCATTTGTACTGTACCTGTAAAATATATTAAATTTCCGGCAGACGCATAATCATGCCGTATAAATGTTCTGTGTATTTTGGAAATTTGTAATTTATGCATATTTAATAAAGCATTTCTCATTCAACAACCCTCCTCTTTCTCTACAATACTCTATGAGAATCTTCCATTGTCTTTCACAGCTTCGACGGACTCGAATCATATTCCTTTTAATATAGATTGATAAATCGTGTTGTTTTGCTTATGGTCCTGAAACGAAAAGCCAATCCATTCGCTGGAATGACACCTGCATTAAAAGGAATAAGATATAGAGTCCTTCTGTGAAAGAGAGCGAAGCTGTGAAAGAGAAAGTGACATGCGTCCTGAAGGTGCTGACAGTGGAAGATTTTCAGTACTATTTTAGACAATGGAAGATTCGCATGGACTATTGTAAGAATAGAAGAGGGTCGTATATTGAAAATGATGATAATTAAATGTCTGAAGTCAAAATAAAAATTTCACAGCATATGTCTAGTGTTGCCGAAATCCGAGACCGAGGCGAGTCTTGGTCTTGCAAACTCAGTCTTGGTCATGGTCTTGGTCTTGCGCAAGAGTCTCACAACAGACTCACAGTTACTTATTAGCTTATTACTATAGAGACATTACTGTAATTTTTTAGATAGAAGAAACGTAAATAAGCCCGAATGAAAAATTAGAGGAATTAAATGCAAAAGTATATTGATTATACCAATTATTAACATATAGAAACTAAGATTGTCGAGTATTAGTAACTATTTTGCCTTAATTTTTATTTTAAAAATCATTTTTTTTTTACCACTCCTGGTCTTGGTCTTGCAACACTTAGGCAGGCTTGGACCGATTTTGGGCAACACTACATATGTCTCATCATTCGGTAGCCATAACTCATATTACTTCTGGCTGAATTTTGAATTTGTTTTTCATCATTTCCTACGTTCATTCAAAATTTGGCTCTTTATAGCAACAACAGCATGATTTTAGAGATTGTGTTTAAGTTTATTAATATTGTATTTCAAGCTTAATACTATTGTTATTATTTAATTATAATCCCCATTGAATCTATTGATCGATTGGAACAAATTGCTGTTGCTACTTTATCTGAGATTTATCTGAAGTAGATTAGTGAAGTAGTGGGGTAATTTGTCTCCTGAAGGAAAAGTAATTCTTAGGAAAGCCGGGATTTCCATCTGATTAACTGTCCTTCGCTCTTTATCTGTTCCCTTTGATCCGGAACCTTGATATCAGTTTTTGGTGAGACTGAATACTGTATCCACGGAAACATTTTAATTCAAGCAAAATGTTTAAATTAAATTTTATATTTGATTAATCAGAAAATAAATTATTAAAAATTATTATAAAAGAAAAAATATACATTTATTTACTTCTAGAGACCTCTAGGATTATATAATGTAACATATCAATGTATCATTTATTTATATATGAATGTTACATTCATTTAATTTTGCCATGAATGATTACTCCTTGAAATAATTATCCCTTTTTTAACATATGTGGAACTGTTAGATTTTTTGTTATTATTTTCTTAACAATTTTCAACTAACAATTGAGGATATGGCTGCAATAAATGCATGTAATACCCTGTTAGGTATTTTCATAAAATATTTTAGTATCTTATTTATTGATCCAAGAAGGTTGAACGAAAATTTCGCTTCCATGAGAAAATTAGATACAAAATGTAACGTTCTTTTATTATTATTTTACTAATTTATTTATTTATTAAGTACTACAACAATCTGTCACATGGACACTAGTTATAGTGAGTGAGGTAGGACAACATCCACACTATATATAAAAGCAATATAAAATAAATAGAAGCAAAATAACAATAAATAGAAGCAAAATATCAATAAATAATAATCAAAAAGTATATACAATAAATAGATTAAAATAACAGAATTAAAACTATCAAAAACACATGCATACCTATATACACTATTTACAATCAGGTGAGGGAACTCCAGGAGAACCCTGCGATACTCTCTCAACCGACTCACTGGTACTAAAGCCAGCGGAGATTGATCGAGAGCACTTTAGCCAGATTATTTTACTAGCTTCGAACGTTCTTTGAATACATGCAATTTAAATACTAATTCAGGAATATAACCAAACGTCCAGACTTTCAGAAGATTTTCATTGAACAGATAGTGTTGCGTTGTATGACGTAGGTAATTTTAGAATATAAAATTTGTCTGGAAAATAGATATAATGATAGATGATAGATATAACGTAGAAAAATGAATAATTATTTTTTTGTTGTTGTTAATAGTTTGGTTAAATTCCAAAAAGCATTTCATTGAATTAGCAGTTTTTGCGAACAATAATATGTATTCTTCAATACTGGATTGGTCTTAGAATTCATTCATACTAACCAATATTGATCGTTTGATAAATTGGTTCGATGGGGAAGAAGTGAGCAGGAGGCTGTAAACGTTTATTACCTGGATCGGAAGAGGACAGATTGTGAATGAAGTCTTGGAAGCCAAAGACACCACAACAGCTGTACTGGCGCTGTACGCTGTCCCAGAGGGCCGTCCACTCTGGGTCTGGCCCGTACCTCGTGAGGATGGAGTGGTTGAGGAGGGATCGAAGCTCTGTCGTTAGCCCGTTGAATCGGTACATCCAGACCACTCCTAGGAGGACGTCTCCGACAAGAAGTACCAGGATCAGTAGCCAATAAATGTTTAATAGGCGTTCGTTCAGTCTGGATGCGCCGAGGCAACCAATTATCTGCAACAAAGAAATCAATAATTGGTCTCATATTTACATATATATTTGTTTGTTTTTAATTTATCTCTGTTGTATAAGTATGCGCCAGCCGGCTATAAAAAGTCGCCCCATTCCTCCACGCTTGCTTTATTCCAGATTGATTAAAATATTGATCTATTCCTATGGGACATAGGTTGATATTAGGAGTGTTAGGCAACTTTCTAATTATGGCAAAATAACTCAAGGCAACATTCCAAATTTTTAAACAATGGACTGTATCTCAAGGAGTTAGTTAATGATTGTGCAAAAAAACCGCTTACCGTCTATATGTCTTATTGTGCTGGAGAATGTGTTTGCCCAATTGTGGGTGCCGGTGGAGTGGACAGATACAACCAGTTCCTCTCAGGGTTCAAGTGTTATCTTTATCTTTTAGATCTGCCCCCACCACTCGCCCTAACGCTGGCCATTTAAACGAAAACCCCTCTTTGGCACAACACAACCAAGGGGTATTCATGCAATTGTTGTAAATGCTTAATGCTATCATGCTAAGCAGTCAACACAAATTTTAAATGAATGATAATAACCTGTCTATACTAACGTGCTAAAGTGTTATCAGTTAGAGTAAGGTTATGCCTGCACTGTAAACAAAGTTTGTGAGTTCTTAATAGATCTACTAAAGTTTTTATATATTTTTAAAACTCTAAAGCGAAGTGAAAAGACAGATGCTGGATTATTTGATTAAAAATGCTTTATTAGAAAGCATGAATGAAGATTCAGATGATTCAGAAGGCTAAGAACTTGATGAATAATGGAATGGATGAAATTCTAGCTGTCCTTTACATTCCATTTCTGTGAATATTGTAAACATCAAAACCTTACAACAACCTTCTCCGTGCGTTTACAAAGTTAGCAACAGGACCGTAGGCTGCTTAAAATCGGTGATATTTAACACACATTTCGTAAATATTGGTCTCGAATTAACACATTTGAGAGGTTTACAATACTTAGGACTGGCTATATGAATACTACTATTACAAAACCTAGTTATCAAGTCCATTCAATGATTGATTTAGAGGCGAATGGAATGAACACATTTTCATTGAATTTGAGACTTTTTTGGACTAGTTAGGAGGTGAACATAAAAAAAAAAAAAAAAAAAAAAAATATTCCCATTCTAGGGAGTGAACCAAGATGTGGAAAAGGAGGGATTCATACAGAAGGTAACGTTTTCGTATGCTGTCCTCGACCAATATAGTATGAATTATTCACACGAGCCTACTAATTGAATTGGGATAAAACTTTTCAAAATCAGCTATCACGATTATTGGATCATTTTTTATATTACTCAATTGTTAAACAAAGAATTGTCTGTACCTACAAGCAGTGGCCTAGTTAAGGGGGTGGAGAGGACTGTACGCCACGGGATTAAAATATTATACTGAGCACCAAAATATTTTAATAATCATTTTCTTTTTGTGGGTTTATATTAGATAAAAAAATAGGCTTATTAATGACATGGCCACTGCAGATATTCCCATCAGGGAGCTATTGAGAAGTATCTGGATGGGAGATCTCTTTTCCAGAATTAAAGTAAAGTTAACAAGAGCCCAGGAAGATGTGCTGCTTGATACTATTCTATTTCGTGCTCAATCCAAGCAAACAAAAAAATATCTGCTTATTTTCATCTTCACGTACCTGTCATGGGTGAATATTTGAGGAATGAAAAAAAAAATTACGAATATTCTTTTTTTTTTTTTTTTTTTAACTCGATTCTTCAACTCACACCTGTCAGAAGTTCCGACAATCCGTGTGATGTCAAGATGTAGAAGATTGGTCTTGGAATAGGCGTGAGGGAAAGCGATTTGATGTTTCATTGGAGCTTCTTTCAGTTCATTCAATTGGCACATAAAATATTAGTTAAAAACTTAAATAAATTTTTTTTTCTTACTTTGCAAATAATGTTGTTTTTTTTAGGTTTTCTGAATGTCTCAGCGTTTAGACACGTTAATAGATTGGTTCATATAATACCATACTCATCATTATCATGTTATACAATCTGAAAGTCGTATTCGATTTATACATTTGTCATGCTCTTTTTTTAAAAATGGTAAGTCTTTAAACTAAAACTGTTGGCAATAAATTTTAGTTGCCTCTATATTTTCCCGACAGGAGCTAGAACCTCGGTTCCATCTGACCCCTTTGATTCCGGCCATAATCCCGGGGCTTTGGGGCACACAGCCCCTCCTTCCCTTGAGGAGGGTAGGCGTCTTATTGGTCTGGGGCTAATCCTTTTGTTTAATTTTACCTTTCATCTAAAAGTTTAATATTATGGGAATGCCATCGGCACCATGCCCCCGATTTTTTAATATTCAAATTAATATTCGGCCAAACAGCTTTGGATATTTTTTGGTGATGTCAGTTCATTTGTTCTATTTAAACATTTTTTTTTTACATTATATATATAATATTTTATACTGTTTTCATATCATTATTAAGTGACAGAAAATTTTCAGTGAACAACTGCATATTATTAGTGCAAATATTTTTATAGAACTAAATTGCTGTTATAAAAAAAAATGTGTCTTATATATATTTTTCGTTTGTTTGTTTTAACTTATCTCGAAATCCATGGTTCGTCATCTTACGGTATTACTTTGCTGATGCTGCCCACCATAGCGAAATTTGAGTACTGCTTTGGAATAGAACAGAGTATATCGTTGCAAAAAGTCATCAAGTGACATTTCAATGAACTAAAATTAAGAATTTTGATGAATTTCTATTTTGTCAAATCATAAAAGAGCGTGCTTATTGTAAGTAGTATATAACAGGATTTATAGATTTTAGTGCTCTTAATATGTTCATTTTTTTCATAAAAGTCCAATTTCATCAAAAATATACTAAATGACGTTTTGGATATTTTTTTTGCCCTGACCGTTCTAGAAGGAGTGAGACTTCGGAGAGAGATTCTAGGGTGAACCCCTTCTCCTCCCCTCCCCCCCCAATAAAAATATAGAGGAGGAGAATATCGTTTCGTCCTCCCCAGTATTTCGAAAAACAAACATAAAATGAAAATCAATAAAAATTAATCTACATGAATGAATAAAATAAGTAAACTAAAATCAATAAAACAAATAGGACAAGTCGACTAAATGCCTAAGCTATGGTAAGCAAGTACTTTACCACGCTCTATGTTCTTATTCTTGAAATTTTAGTTTCTATTATATATATTGCAACATATTATACGATCTTACGATTCATTAATCTGCTCTTCCATTTTTACGTAAAGATTTAATTACATTTTCAAGGGCAATCGGAGAATTGAGAGTCAGTCTCACTGCCTCAAACCTAGCTAAAAAGTATTTTTTAACATACGTTCCAATTGATACAGTGGTATATTCTCCATAGTTTTTAAATGTTAACCTTTGTATTATAATTTCTATTAACACTGAAGTGTATGAACATTAAAATATGAACAGTGTAAGCTAAGTAACAAGATCCTAAGCTGAAGTAAATAGATGTTAACAATTGTAGTGTAATATATAATAACGCAAATGTGAATATACTTCTACAGATCTACAGGAGAGATTGGAAGAAAAGGAAAAAGGATATAATATAAAATAATAGACATAAAGGAATGTGGAGAAAGAAAAGAAAACCAATAAATTAAATAAATAAATAAATAAATAAAATTGGAAGAATAAAATTAGAGACTTACTAGTGTGTTCAGCTAGGAGTTTCACTTAGAACTGAAAAACCAGGGTAAGAGCAGGTATAGGGGAAGCTGACTTGTTTGGGTAATGGAGAAAACGATAGAAAATTACAGTATCTAAAATTTGAAGATATGGATGGATACAATGGAAAAGTACTATATCTATGAAATATTAAATTATAAATATATACATATAAATAGAATTAAGAGAGAAATTATTATAGTGATATAGGTATATAAAATTATTACCTGGAGGAATCCGCTTTGAAAAATGAGTGCTAGGTAGGCGTACAAGAAGGACGGCTGCCAGAGACTGAGGCCGGGGAAGAGGAGTCTGCGAGGGTCGGAGATGAGCACGCGGCAGGCGACGGTAACGAAACCAATGACGCTTACGAAGAGGAGTGCGTTACAAGTGTAAATCCAGAGCCGGTAGTAACGCATCGCGGGCGGGGGATTAGGCCCACCCAATACCATGCCGGATCTCCTGCAATACAAACCAATCATCAATATTAATACAAAAATACTTATGGCAATAAAAGTTGTTAATGTGGTTGTTTTAATTAAAAATATGGTATAGAGTTATTTTCATCACAATGAAAAAAAAAAACAACACTGAAAATGATTACACAAAGGTTTATTTTCAAATAATTATATATAAAATATGTAAGGCATATTACACTATTCATCTTAATACATGATAAATAAATAAAAGGTAGTTAATAATATTAGGCCGCTTAAAATTTTTATCGAATCGTTTCATATGAAGAAACGACTGGATAAAAACTTTTCTTCAAAGGTAAGGTTACTTAGTAAAACAACTTTATGAAATCAGAACATTTTTATTCAATACATTTTCTCCAACTTACTATCAACTTTTTAATCCCAGGATTGAAAAGGTTAGGATTTTGTGAAGAAATCAAGTCAAAAAATGCGTTTTGGGCCTGAGAATCATTTAAAAAATTTTTACCTTTAAGGAAGTTTTTCAATTTGGTGAATAGATGGGAATCTTTTGGAGATAAGTCTAGGGAATAAGGTGGATTTGCAACGACTTCGCGACACTGCTCGTTTAGTTTGTTTCACTGTCTGTCGCATAACATGCTCTGGAGTTGTGTAAGAGTTCGATAGTTTCGATTAACCAGTGCAGTCTATTTTTTGACATTTTCTTGATGCATTATATCAATATTACTACCGTCCGATGTGGATCTGATGGTTTTATCACTCTTGTATCGGGAGGAAGTGAATAATTCCTCCCATTGACTATCAATTAGAAACCAATAATTTTTTACATGATTATTTTTTTTCAAACCATTGGTGAGTGGTCAGTACCCCCACCATTCCCCGAACGCCGTGTTAATGTTTCTTGCAGCTTGTCCTGCCGAGTGCTATAGTTTTAATTCAGAATAAAAAATCACTCGAAAATCTCGTGTTCTATTTCCATATTGTTCATTTAAATAGCATATCTTTCTGTTAGGATATAGAGCCTTATTTCCCTCATCAGCTTGGCTCTGAGCTGGCAGTATATATGGCAGTATAGGCAGTACAGGCTATGGCGACATGTACGGTTGTATCTCCTTCCATGCAGCTTGGTCAAAATGTTTCGATATCCTGGTCAAATTTCCGGAGGTCAGCACGAAATTCCCCATACCCAGTACCTATAGGCGATCTAACGGTTCAGAAAGCATTTCCTCAGCTTGGCCGCTTTCGTGGTTGCTACCCACCTCATTCCTCTGATGTATCCTCCCGAATATTCTTTTTCCGATTTATGGGAACCTCACCAATCTTTATTCGGACATGTTATGCTAGATCCCCCAAGTCTTCTTTCTTCATTTTAAATTTGAAGTTATGTAACCGCAGATGTAAATCGAGAAGTACTCCATTGTTTAAAAATTGCACTGAATTCGATATGCAGTGAGGAATTTATTAAGGAATTTTCTATTTTTCAATATTTTAGGAACTGTCCTCTATTTTACATTACTTGAGAATTTTTCCTTGACTCCTCGAACTAAATATTTTCGAGATGTTTTCCATTCCTCTCTTTCTATACTTCTCTGATGTCAGGCCCCGCAGGGCTTGTTTCCACCCTAACTTTTCGTTTTATCGCTCTAAAGTTATCTTTAGTAATCTTTCTGGAGATATTCTTTTAACATGCGAAAATTAGTATGAGAGTAAGGAAAATTTTATATTTTTTAAATAATATAAGTTTTACACCATAATGTAATAATGGTAATTAATACGCCACAGAGCCTTAAGACTAATTAAAGAAGTACTGACTATTCAATTAAAAACATTAATATCTATCATTCTTTTCTGTAATATTTAAGTAACAAAACATTACATTTATCATTTGTAAAAAATCATATCTACATTTGATCTGGAGTATGACAAAATTCTAGGTCCTAACAACTAATGTGTGTAAAACCTGTAATAGAAATAAGTTAATTATTGGACAATTTCTAATAACAAGATTTTAATTCAAATTGAGAGTTCTCACTTGGTTTTCGATCTCCTATTATGTCAATTTGATTGTTTAAATATCATTCAATTGTTGCCAATGTCTGATCTAAAGGTGTGGTTGTAGAATTAGAAATTAAAATACAATATATTTACATTATAGTACAATCTTTTATACAATTTATAAAACAACAACTAAAATATACAAAATTACTGTATAAAATAAATGCGATAATTCTCTTGTAAAAACAATTTTAATGTACTGTTTTTTTTTAATGATTTTTTTAAATAGATTTAAAGCTAGTTCTCTCTGTCAAAGTTTTTCCTGTGGTAATGACTCCATGGACATATACTTAATAAAAATAATTATTTAAAATAAAATAATAGCCATTTAAGGGAACTAAATACAAATGCAATCACGATATTATAATAATGACTTTAACTATATTTGGTCCATAAAAAATATCCAAGACTGTTTCTTTGTATGTCCTATATTCTAACTTTCATTTTTCTCGTCATCTTAACATTGCAAACTGTAATGTTGTATATTTTTTAAATCCATTTTCACAATGTCTGGTCTAAAATTATATAACTTAATTTCATAAACATTTTTTTAAAGAATGAATCTGAATGAGTTCCCCTTTTTACTTCCTTACCGACTCCGTCATCAACTGTAGTAAAGCACTGTAGATTTTAGTACCGAGGAAACTTCAACCTCATTTTTCTTTCTACATCATTCTTCTTTCTTGAAGAGTTTTATGTTTCATGCGGATATACGAGTTTATTACTTTTTACATATTTAAATTGCTTTGATTCTAGAAATAAAAAAGTAATCGATGTTTTATTTTGCAATGTTTTCTAATAAACAGTATGGTATGTTGGTGGTTAAGACACTGGTTTCCACCCAACTCTCTAGCCGAAGTTTGATTTCGGTGTGTGTTCAACCAGCTTCTGTAGATTATGCGTTACACCATAATACATTTGAAATTTTAAAATACACAACAATCTAACAAACCTTTCGTTCACCTCTGCATCCGTTTATTAACATATTCTCACTGTTTCTTCTGATTTGTACTATGAAGTTGTCAACTAAAACGTAGCTATCGCTTATAATTCTAATTATCTATTTTCTATTATAAGTTTTATTTATTTTATATGGCTAAACTATTATTCAGCAAATCAGATACTGTAAGGCCATTTTATATGATTGAATCTAATGTGATATAATTAAATTAATTAAAATGAAAATATGATAAATAATAATTCAGCTTTCCAAAAGATCTAGTATCGTCAAAGAAAATTCTGAAGAATTATGAATGCTTTAGTTCACGCAAGAAAAAAAAATATGACCTATAATAATTCGTATTTAGAGGTCCTAAAGGATGCTAAAGGCGAGTTTAAATTGCTCTTTTTTTTTAAGAAAAATGTATTGAGCCCATTTTACTGATAGCTTTTTGGATTTATTATTTTTGCATGCTTTGAACTCGTCTGATACAATTATTTTATTGCAATTATTATTTTACAGAAACAAATATAATATAACAGCTTTGAAATCCGTGCAGGCAATGAATAATATTAAATATTATTTAAATTGTATAAAATAATTTTTTTTCTCGGCTCCTAGAACGTATTAGTCAGAAACCTAGAAGACATAGGATATTATGGGTCCAATATAGGGCTAAAATATGGGTCCAATATTTTTGGACCTAGTATCATTAAAAAAACGTGTCATTGTAATCTATGATCTCACATCCCTCCTCTCATAAGTTTTATTGGTGAATAAAATTCAATCAGCATCATATTTATTATTTATATAATCTATTAGAACATAACGCATAGAGCATGCCCTCGATGTGTATATTTTCCCTCGTGGAATGCACTATCATAAGATATAGTTAGAAATTTCACTGCATATGCCTAAGAAACATATTCAGAATATTCATGTATGCAGGAGCTAAGATAGGTTGAAGATGCCTGATGAATATCTGATTGTCATGAGAATATCGCAAGTCCTGCTCCAGTAAGGGGTTTCATTCTCCGGTTAGTTAATTGTTCAACTGCCTGGAATTCCCAGCTGCTTAATCTCAGTGACATTAATTTCCTTCTGGTAATTTAGTAGTGGTTACGTTAACTTTATAACGGCTTCATCTGCACCTCAGTTATTGAGTTACTCGATTTATTAACTTCGAAATAGTGTCGACTCCATTGCTATTCCTTTCCTTTTTTTTTGTTTATACCTTATTTTTTATTTACTTTCCTTACGTGATCTCAAACTAAAAAAGTGGAAAGATAAAGGTCTATTTAATTTCATTATGTTCACATTTAGATGGTTCGAAATATAACAAAAAATATTATAATATGTCTATATTGATGATAAAATAAGGTTAGCTTGTAAATGGAATGCCACTGGTAACATTTTTCTATTTGTTAGGAAGTCTTTGTGGTCTGTTTTTTCAACAATAGATGGATATGAAGTGTCATTTCACACAGTACTTTGTGGGATTGTGTGAGCGAAAGGTTTGTAATTATCTGTTTAGGGTCTTTTGCACATTAGTCCCGCCAGTTACTTTTTGAATAGCAAAAAGTAACTGTTATAGAAAAGCATCAGTTACATTTGAATCAATGCTAGAGTTGATAGGTTATACTGTCTATTATTCAAACATCTGTTAACAGATTCATTTATTTAGCAAAATGAACTCCTTTAGGTTATACTCCAGTTTGAATATCGGACAGAAGGAAGGCTTTAAGTTTTATCAGGAAGCTGGAATTATTAACAAGGAGCGCTTTTGTGATAAAGGACACCAAATAAAGCTCGTAGAAAGAAACGTTGCTTATGATAGGTGGTGGTGTTATTCATATTCGTGTAGAAAAGAGAAGAGAATAATCTCTACTAAAAGATTTAAAACTTAAACAATTAAGAGAATATTAAATATCAAAGAATTTTGGCAAGTTGTATAATCTTTTAAAAGAAAAATGTAAATTAGATCACTTATAAGAACAATTTTCGACATCATATGTTTTCT